TTAACTATGAATAGTTGAAAGATGCATAACATTTTAAAATAATTAAATAAATAATAAAATTTACAAAAGCGAGAGATTAGCAATATTTGAAAAAAAATTCTCTATAATACACAATTCATTCTATAACATCCAAAACATTCTCTATAACACTAAATCTTTAGCTTCATTAATTGTTTCATAAAGAAAACACGAACAGAAATCACCCAAACGGCACACGAACAACTCACTCTCCCTCAACATCAGTTGGTGAGGTGAATTTGCCTGGCTGGGACGTGAACGTGCATCGAGGTACAAGTCTGTGCATGCTGGGAGCCTAGAGTGGGTGCGAGAAGGCACACATGCGGCATTCGGCGAATCCCGAGTAGTGCGGTCAGGTTGCTTGCGATTCGCCGAGCGCCGAACATTCGGTATTCGCGCTACCCCCGCGTGTCGGTCTTTAGGACTCATCAAAGGGTGCGAACATTCGCCGAACACATCTACTGCTCGGGACTGGGCGAGCACAAATACGCTGCTCGGCGAATGCCGAATATGTAGAGCCGCCTGGCAGAACGCGCGCCCTCATGTGCGCACGTGCCGCAGAGCCAGCGGGTGTCTAATCTACAAAATATACTGGCAAGCTCCCCGTTCAGCTATGGGCCCTGCTCATTTCCTAGCGCGTAAGCGAGGGAAAAGGAGTTGAAAACATTTTTCTTTAACGTTCAGGAAAAAAATATAGGGCAAATTGCACACACGACAGATTTGGTTGAAAAATAATTTGGGCATTCTAAAGCTCCCAGATTACCCTTCAGCTTCGCCACTGATAACGGTTCTTCTATAAATTCCCTGACTTTTCCCGGTTTGCTAGAAAGTGGCTACCCTGCGATAGAAAGGTTCCCAGAAGGTTTTCAGGCGAGGATGAGCGTGGGGGCTGCCTTTCTCATCAAATCGAAATGTCAAATAGAAGTATTTCTTGATGTATTTAAAATTCTTGCAGGTTGAGACATAATCACCATTCATTATGAGAAATGAAAACAATTAGAATTTTAAAAAATCCCTAACTTCTAACAAAATTCCTTGTTTGATCCTGGCATTTCCAGATAAATGAATTTCCCTGACTCTTCCGTTTTCCAGAAAGTGGCCCTTGCGCTTAGGTAACAGCACCGGCAATTAACAATCACCCAAATTCTAATTTTATTCATTATATAAACCCAATATTTCTTGAATTAACAGAGGGCTTGTAAATACCTGTAGCCCCCTCCTCTTAGAAAAAGTCTGGTTGCAACAAAACTCTTATTCTAGTGCTGAATGCCTCACTAACATCTTCAATTTTTTTTTAATGTGGGAAACTCAACTACAAAGGTAGTTTTTTAAAATTATTTCAGATTTATCAAATTGCCAAAGGGTGAGCTATTAGTAATCCCACTAGTATATAATTTCAGTTATCATTTGACAGGAAAAAATTGTAGCAGATTATAATATGCATGAAATTACAAGCATTTAAACACAAAATATTTTAAAATCATTAACAAAGTACTCCTAGATAATAAAAAATTGTAAAATGCCTATAATTCCATTCTTTCACATAAGCGTTTCTCTCTTATATTTTAATTACATGGAGTAATATAGAAGACTTACTTTCATTTTCTTCTATTTAGAGTGTAGAATACTTTGGCATTTTTCATAGCACAAAGTCATTTCTTGGGAACTATTAATGAGAGAACAAAGGAGCTAAAAATCATTTCCTATTTCCAGTCCAAAAGCAGAATAACTTTAAAATAATCACCTACATATTTAATCGAATGTCCAGAAATACTTGTATAATGTTGTACACATTTTTTCCCCTTTAGATAATAGAAAACGTACAAATTTTATGTACTAGCAAAGAGCATCTTCATAAAAATATATTATTAAAGTTTCACAAAATTGATATCAAAATTCACCCAAAAATTTTAAAACTACTCTCAAATTGTATTTAACATGCACAAAGTGAACACAGAAAAACATACATAAATTTTCTCAAAGGCAAAATTAAATTTCCATGTCACTGCTTTAAGTACCTACAACTCATAAAACAACACTGATTTGAATAATTCAATTATCAGTCTTAATTGCAATTAATTTTCTTGAGCATGTATGTACATAAAAAAATTAACCCCTCAAAAAATACCTTAGCCAAGTATATTTCTTTTCCTCAAAAAATACACAAATTTCATTTCTACACTGCACATTCTGCTACATTAATAACACATAATGCACTTTAAAAAATCAAGTTATACAAAAAATTATAGGTCACGCATTTGAATTATTTAGAGAAAATGATAGGGCAATAAGAATATTTTAAAAGCTAACAAAAAATCAGGTAATCATCCACATAGTCATTACAATAAGATTTCTATAGCCTTTTAATATTTACATATGTTTTTTCAAGTTCACTCATTCTGAATTTTTTTGCTTTATCTTCATTACTAGCTTCAACGATGACTGATCTCATGTCATTCAAAATCAGTCCATCTCTTTCCAACAGGGAATAGCTCAAGATTCGTATATACAGTAAATAATAATTTGATAAAATAAAATCATGACATCTAATAATACATTATTAGTCCTTCATGTTTATTATATAAACCTCACTGATTTGTTGGTAGAAATTTAATTTCTATAAATAATTATTAATCTTTTCAACAGAAAATTTCCATACTGATGCACAGTCTCCACCAGCATCAGGACATGTGGAGACTGTCCCTTGACTTACAAATGCATCATACAGAACTTCAGAAGCAGATGATTTCCCTATTATAATCATTTTTTATTCAATATTATGAAATAATGTACATTTTATAAAAGATAAAAATCAGCATTTAATTACTGAATTGGTAACTAACTCATTGGACATAGATACAAATACAATACATGATCACAAAGAAATGAACTGACATAATATACGAGTATTTTCAGCAATACTACAAAACAGTAAGCAATAAGGAATACCAAAAATGACCAGAAAATTTGTGATTCATGTAAATATACAGAGGAACACAACAAATAATCATGGTCTTCTACAGTAACATATAACTATTAATACTGTACTCGATTATTTCATCTGTTCACATTACAAAATATATTCTTATAACAATTCATATTAAAGTCACTGATACAGTAATTTGCATTTTTATACTCGATACTAAAACTAATAAAACAGTCAATGTGGCAAGGAAAATTATTTTCTCTCACTACCTCTAGTCTGGCCAAGGTCCATAAGGCTGTCAAATTACTTTACAAGAATCAATAATCACAGATAGTAGCAAAAAATAACTTTAAACTTGACTAATGAAAGAAAAACTCCTCATACAATCTTTCTCAACACAGTTACACTTTAGAATTTTGTAGGACTTCCAAACATGCCTTCATTATTTCACAGTCTCTTTTTCTATGCTTTTCTATGCAAGACAGAGGCTTAGGATCCAGATCTGAGACACCAACATTGAATACATAATTCTGAGCATTCATATCCTTCAAGACTTGATTTTGTGGGAAATGTTTAGCAATTTCATAAGATGGAAAATTACATCGTTGAAACGCCATCATGATTGAACAATCTTTGGCAGTTGCTGCTAAGAGGTAGCGATGAATGGGTGTTATGTTTTGATTTGATTTAAAAAGTGAAGCCACATAAGAGTATTCTGATCCAGATGTGTTCAATCCATCAGTGTGGTACATATAATAAACCAAATCAGCACCATACTGTTCCAATTTTTGAATTCGCAAGATTCGATCCAAAATACAATCTGTTGGTAAAGGTTCTGCAGTCCAATCGCACGATGGATCAGGCAGAAGTGGACTCACTTGCGCAATCAAAGAAGTTGGGATGCGTTCAAATGCAGAATGGCATGGCACAAAAGGAGATGAATGTTCAGGTTCTAAACCATCAAATGACACCGAAGTGCACATTTTTTCTGGGCAAAGATTGGAAGTAAGAGCTTTAAATACTAATTCACAAAAGTTCTCCACCAAATTTTGAAGGGTCTGTGGCCTTTCAATATTTCCTAACCAGCTTTGCAAGACTTCTTCCAAAGAACTACAGTCTTCATCTCCATATACGAGAGCACCATCTTTAAAAATTTTTAAATTATTCTGAGGAGATAATAATAAATTGTGTAAAGCACTTTTCATTCTTGTGTGGATCCCTGAGAAAAGGTCCAGAGGACAATATTGACTTCGATTTTGTATTGTACCAAGTTTTAACTTTAGATATTGATTTAAACAAAATGTACACTTTGATAGTCTTCTATCAGGTCGAGGAATCCAGCCTTGTTTTGGTTTCACTTCTACACAAAACGTGGGGGAGGGTGTATTACACCCAATGTCTGCCACAGTTAGGTGAAGGGGCAAGAGAGCATAGTCAGGATACACTGTCACATGGCTGAAATGCAGTCCTTTGTGGTGACGATGAGCTGGTCGTTGAGCCCGAAGAATCTGGTCCAAACAAACCACCTCCTCCTCTTCCATGCACGCTGCCATAGGAGGTTGGATATACACCTCACCCAACAAAGGAACCATAATACACCGACAGAATACAGTTTCTCTCAATACTCTCTCTCTCTCCTCATCTTCTCCAACAGCTAATATCGATCCATTTTCATTTTTCCGTAATCTTACAATTTTTCTGTCTTGAGTCAATGCCAATACTAAATTTGCATTCCCTTCTCCTCGATACTTCCACTTTTTACCTCTTAAACTTAGGCATCTTGGTGCCCGCAAGTCATGACCCAAGACATCAAGCATGATGTTCAGTCTTATTTTTTGTTGTTGTTGTTTTTTGTTTTTGTTTGATTGTGTTGTCTTTTTTACTTTAAAAGGTGTCTCAAGTGAGAAGGAGAGTGTAAGTGACATATACTAATATTAAATCATCCTTGGCTTATATATCATCTATAACACATCAATACACCACAGTAGCTACCTCAATTTAGAAATATTGATACAAAATTTATATACAACACTTCAAATTACTTTTATCTACATACTTGATACTGAGGCAAACCAACTGTACTATCTAGCCATGACGCTACTTCTTCAACACTCCACTTCCAACAGCGTGGCAAAGGCATAGCATCGAGAACATCTCCACAAAGTTCTACAAGTGTCTTTGGGCTAGGCAAGTGAGGACGGCAAATCCTAAAATTAGAAATAGTAAACATTAAATTTTCTAACATATACAAAACTAAAGAAAACCTTAGAAATCAACCAGAATTGCTACATGATTAATTGCACATTAGGTTCATTGCAAGAAGGAAACACTTGATTAGAATTAATAATAAAGACAAAATGAAATGAACTCACTTTGCAGGATTATCTTGTGGAAACCTCTTTGAAGGTTGAACACGTTTGGAACGCAGTATACTCATGACTGTTTATCTTTTAAGCAATGAAAACCTGCAATGTTATTGATGCAATTACTTACTGTAGCTCTACAAGTACTGCTATATAAGTAATGTAGAAATTATATATTATGAAAGAGAGAAAAAGGTATAGATATATTTAAAATTAATTTTAAACTCACCTAGAATAAAATAATCGTTCAAATTTATAACATGCATCACAGTATGGCATCAATTTCACTTAACGGTGTTCTTATTCTTAAATCGTATCATTCAAACTTTTCACAAAAATACATAAGTAGCAACTTCAATAAACTTGTCTTTCCTTTTCACCTACATGTGAACACTTCCAAAACTCTGTGACAACTGAAAGGTGTGGTTTCTTTTGAAGTCCGTGTTATATGTTCATAGAACGACATCATGAAGCGTCATAGCTTCTCTTGGGAACTTTTACCACGCAATCAACAACACAAGAATTGCCATACTCGATGCTACTAATCGGAACATACGGGACGAAACAGGAAATACGCACAGGAATTCCTACGCGGGCGGTTCCGTCCGCCTTGTTTGCCTCACGACCGCTTCTCAACGACAGCGTTGTGGTCGTTGTGGTTGTGGGCGGCGCAAATCGCGCTTTTAGCCCCATCCTCAACAGAGGAACTCTGTGGATGACCGGTTCCTCCCTCCTCGCGTTCTTCTCTGTCCCAGGATAAACCAGTGAGCCAACGCATTCAAGAATCAGGTCCAAAGTTCAAAGTTGAAAAATTATGGAAATAGGAGGGCCAAGCGCAGTGGGTGGACATAATTTGGATAACCTATAAAGAATTCACGAAAAATTCCTATATAAGAAGAAACGGAGAAGACCTTTCCTGTGTCAGAAGATCTAATCAAGTTTTGTGCAACGGAATATTGAAACGTTTTGTGTATTTTCATTCTGGGTGAAACGGGAAATTGAAGGGAAAACAAAATTCAACGCTGTTGAGATGCACTATTCGTAGACCATTACAAAGTGAAAAGCGTTTACAATAGATTGCAGAAACAGGACCTGAGTTATGCACTAACACAGTTGTGGGAACATTTTCGGATCCCACAAAGACCACATAAAGAAAGCGAACATCAGACGTGATCAACTAGTTGAAGATTGCACATTAGAAAAAAGGGTAGTGGGAAAGTAAATTAAGAATGAGAAAAATGTTAATTAAGTCAAGTGATTTGATTGAAGCTCGCCCATACTCGCAGCCCACACTAAGAAAAAGTAGGAGATAGTGAAATGAACACCGGTGGGTCAAGGCGAGCGCCTTCGTTAGAATTCGATTTGACACTGGACCGCACGCAAGCTGAAGAGGCGTTCAAGGTCTCAGGGGAAAAACAAGGGTCGGACACGAACCTGAAATATTATTTCTTATAACCTGGCACGCACTTGGAAGGGTATGATTGGAAGACACTCCTAGAGATTGGGATGAGAGTGACACAAACAAAATTATCCAAATTATTACATGCACATGCTGCGCGTAATGCGCACGGAGCGGCGAAAGTATGCACATAATTCATTTTCCCCTGCAACGAAGAAAATATAGTAGTTAATTTGAATTAGATGTAAAAACATTTTTATTTGTTTTGGATTAAAAAGTTAGTGGCATGGTTTAAGTCGAGGCCTGAGGCAAGTTGCCCAAGTTGCAAGCTGCAAGCAACCTAATCTAAGTTACGAAGGTTCGGAAAATATCAGCGCGTGACGTATTCGATATTATTCAAACATTTCTGCGCGATGCTGCTTCTTAAAATATTTTTTCAGCTTTCGATGAAAGCTAAAGCTACGCTTCCATTGGCAGGGCCATCATATATACAAGAATACTGATGAGTAAATTTAATCAATTCGTCCTTTATGTTAATATTTAAAAAATGAAATTATAACGATCTAGTGGAAGTATATCCAAAGTTTTGAGGGGGACGTGTCCTATCTTCCTGCCCCACCTGAGAAACTCGTGGGTTCAACATTAAACATTTTTTTCAGCAGTGAAAACAATCATAGAATTGTGCAGAGAGTTCAGAGCCAGGATATTTAGTCTTTCAGGACAGAACTCAAATATAAAATGAAGGGGAATCGACGCAGAAAGCGAGGGTAGAGAAAATAGTGTCTTCGCCGATTACTTGTGTATTATAGGAGTTATTTGATTGATTAGTGATTCTGCGACCTTCAGCTGCTAAGGTCATTAGTCCCGTGAGTGTAGTGCATGTTTTATCGCCGGAGGTGACAGTGATCTTTCCCTGCTGGATGGTGAGATCCGGCACCGAACTTCGGCCGGCTAATGGGGTTTCCCCTACCGACTGGTCTCCCGGCGTGTGTGGTAGTGTAGTACATGTAAGTGTAGGTGTGTGTAAGTAAGAGGATAGGATAGTACAAGGAACAGGAAGGAAAGATGGCGCGAGGTCCGTGGCCCGTTTGTTAGGGTACTGCTCCGGCATTCGCCTGGTGTTGACCTGAGAAACCACGGAAAACAACCGAGTAGAGAAGCCGGTCTTCCTAGAGGCTGTTGGATGCAACGTAAATTAGAATGCGTATATTATATCATATTTCTTGGTTCGTTTCTTACATTGGAAATTTTGTTATACGTTTACAAGTTAATCTTTTAGAAATTATTTTTAAAAAAATGATAAAAATATGAAATAAAGATTGCTACCCTTTAGTCCCCCGCTCCCAATTTACTCTGTTAGATGCTACGTAAGTTAAAATTTATATATTATTTCATATTAATATTATTATTTATATTATATTTATGTTACTTCTTTTTTTAATTGCGTCCTTTAATTGTGTTTAATATGAAAACGAATAGATGAACGGTCGTTGATAGTTGTCACCCATTGTAATGCTGCACGGAAAAAAAATGCGACAATGACGACTACTTTTCATTCCTGGTATTAAAAAACGAATCATTTTACATATTTGTAGAATATTACAATATCATTGTGTTTAATAATCACTATTATATATTTTTCGATCTATTTGTTTCCGAACGCTATCACTATCGTATTATTTATTAACTTTTAATTATTTTACTTTCTCGCATTCTGCTTATTTTTCGCTGAAAATGTTCTACGATTTCAAATGAGTTTTACAAAAAATAACTCGGAGAGAAATTGTGGTGTAAATTGTATTACATATCCATTACTAATGTCGAGAAAGTACGTGCTGTTTTAACCCCAATAGTTTTCTTTACATAATTTTCTGAGACAGAGCAAAGTTCGTTTACAAAAATTACATAGATCCGACTTTCCTTAAACTCTCTAAATTTTCGAAAGTCATAACTTTAAAATTCGGTCCTCCTTCAACTACGTACAATTGTTTTTCGCATATAGGCTAACTCGGACAACGCGAGCATCCTGATTTAGTAGGTGCGAGTACCTTTCGGGGGGGGGGGGCAGCGTTTTAGCTGAATCCCGATTTGTATCCCCCAAGTTTGCTAGTGCTGGAGATATAGACGATGAGATGATTATGGTGAGGGGTGAAAGGACGGCATACAAGTTCACAAATATACCCATGCGCGACGCAGAAACCGAACTCGCGGTTTTCTGGTCCAAGAGCGCTACGGCACTACTGCCCTGAAGATACAAGTTTTTTGTTTAAATTAAATCTATATTTCGAAAGTATATCTTCAAATAGTATCATTATTTTTTTTAAAATATGAGTTGCATCTCTTCAACTTCTTTTTTAAAGCGTTGGGAAGGTTGTTATGCCACTGAGCTATTAAGTAGCTAATAGCTTGCTAAACCTAAGAATTGAGTTTGGATGCTATAGTGGGCAAACATTTTTAAGTTCTACTAGTGTTATAATATTGAGTTATTGTTCCTGTCGGCCTGGATGGATGAGGTGGCTAAGACTGCGTACCGGCTTAGCGCTTCGGTCCGAAGGGTCACGGGTTCGAGTCTTGGGTATGATTGTTTCTCTCTTGTCTCCTGTGTATGTGTTGCCGGGGAGGGCGTCGCGTTCTGTTGACCCCCACGTCAGAGGAGCCCGCGAGTGTGTTAGTGTCTAGTGTATGCTCGAATATGCATCCCATCGGGGCTCCCTACCTCATCCCGTAATAGATAACCGGATGTCAGCTGGATAAAAGTCCTAGTAAAAAAAGCCCATAGCTATCACACAACCCTCATGGCACTGCCATATCCACTAATTTTAACTGAGCGATATTCACCTGAAACGGCCTGTCCACTGTGAGAGACCTTCTCCCGGCGCGGCGAGGGAATAACCCTTGATGGGGAAAACCTACCAGATAGCGAAACGTCCTTAGCTGATAATGCGGCGGCGAACTTTGCCGCCCTGGAATCACATTACCTCGAAACGTTGGTTTGGCTGGTTGGAATTCAGGTTCGTAAATCGGCATGTAGCTTTGTATCGTGTGTCCTTCACGCCCTTACAAACGTCCTTCACGACCAGTCCGTCCGTCCGTCCGTCCGTCCGTCCGTTCGTCTGTCCGTCTGTCCGTCTGTCCGTCCTTCTGTCTGTACGACCATTTCTATCTTACTCCTCAACTACTATTTGAAAAAGTTTTAAACAAACCTAACGTGAAATATACATGTTGTTTTAATTCAATTGTTTAAACGAGAACAGCTTTCTCCAATAGAATTTAGTGTATTCACGTTCTACATAAATGGTCCAACGATGCACGATGCGAATTTTAACCGGTAATAAAATTATTGTGGTCCATGGTGTTCACACCAACATGGTATTCACAACAAAAATTATGATTGAAAGTGCAAAAAATGTAACTTTAAACAGGGAACACATCGACGGTAACTTATGCAGAGCAGCGAAACTTGTTTCACTAAAATGTGTTGAAGGAGATGTACTCCATTTAATTTAATTTATAGACAAACATTTTTGCACTGTGAAATGTGTATTTACTATTTGATATAATTTATTAATTTAATTAAAGGTTCAATAAAATACCAGTTACTCAAAGCATTTTGTTTCATTTCGTTACACAATTTCCACATTGGGCTTATTTTTTTTACGTAGTTTGCACACAAAAATGCTTACGTTTGATTACGAGAGGCGCCTACGAGGGTGGCTAGGACAGCCGAGTTGCTCTGGGAGCTGCCCTAGTTGATCCCAGCGTCTTCTACAAATCACTTGGATGCTCCGCAAATTGCTATAAAAATTACTCGAAGTGCTGGACGCTGCCCAGCAGATCTCTCCGGAGGAGGTGCTGACGGTGCTGTGCACCGAAGGTTTCTGTAGAAAACTCTCCACGACTAATGGGCGACGAGTCATTCATTTATGGAATGGTTAAATCTGAATGAAATGCAATCCCATAATGTACTAAATAAGCAATGTTCGTGGGGTACACCGTGAGTTGTGAAGAGCAACTTTTAAAAGACAAATACGGTGATTTGTCAATTGAATACTGTATGCAAAACAATGAACATGATTCCCGAGTGCAAACAACGAATTATCTTTAAACTTTGAGACTTTAAAATTTTCTGATTTTTATTGCATGTCTGTTGCCGAGTTACAGGTAATTTTTTTTGCGAGTCAAAACGTAACCATCGTTACCTAAGGAGTGATTTCTATTTCCAACCTTTTTTCTTTCTCCCTACGGAGTAGAGAGAAAGTAACGTAGTGCTGCGTAAAACGTAATTTTCGGCAGAAATACGCTTATTGCTGGACCCTGGTAACGAAAAAGTGGATAAAT